TAATTTTTTTTTTTTTTTTTTTTTGTCTACAAAATAATTTCCATTAAAATATATCCAAAATCTTAAAGATATATAAAAATTCTTTTTTTTTTTTATAAACACAAATTAATATATATTATTTATAAATCATAGAAGATTATTCTTAGAAAACCAAAAAAAAAAAAAAAAAATAAAATATATAAGTTATTTTCCTATAAACTATATCTTAAATAAATGAAAAATATATTTACTTTAAATTTCCTTAAACACAAATTCAATAGATTCTTCATTTAATTCTAAAAGCTCCTTTGCAATTTTTTTAAATTTTAAGAACAAAATAAAAAAAAGAAAAAAGGGAAAAAATATGCTTATAATTACACCAATAATAAAGATAGGTTAAATAGTGAAAAAAAAAAAAAAAAATAAAATAAAAATGAAAACAAAAATAAAAATAACAATGAAAAAAAATATAAAAAAAATCGATAAAAATTATTAAGATAAAAATATATAAAAACTGTTAAATTTTAAATACTAATTTACATGAAGGGGAAAGAAGAAAAGAATAAAAAAAAAAAAAAATATAAAAAAAAAAACAAATGTCAATATATTGTAGTATGTAAAATATTAAAAATATATAAAAAGAAAAAAAAAAAAAATTTTTTTAATAGGAAAATATTTCATATGTTTTATTAATATTCAACATAACCATGCACACTAAAAATTTTATTTATAAATGTGTTAGTGGAATAAATATATTCATTATATCCTGCTTTTATTATATAATAATTATAACATTACTTTTTTTTTTTCACTTTTATTTAATTTTATTTTATTATTTTTTTTATTTTGTTATATGCATGTATAAAAAACGAAATTATTATTACCTAAAAGAATACATAAATATTAATAATTATATATGAAGGAAATAAAAAATAATGAATAAATAAGGAAAATAAAAAGATAACCCATATTAACAAAATATTTTTAAATTTAATATAAATAATAAAAAAGAAACATTAAAAAAAAAAAAGAAAAAAAAGTGAAAAACTGTTCAAAAATATTTTTCTTAACTGAAATTATATACTTAATGGAAAAATGGAAATTTATTAAAAACAATGCACAATTTTAACTTTTAAAAATTTTTTTTTTTTTTTTTATATACATGTCATATAATAATCTTTTTTTTTCTTATTTTTTATATTAATAATTTTAAATATATTCAGTTTGAGATTGTTGATATCAAACTGTAATATTTTTTTGTTTTATATATATTTAAAAAATTAATATATTTTCAAGGTTCTTTTTTTTTTAAAAGCAATTATTACATAAATCTATTTTTTTAAATATATAACTATACTAATTTATATCTCATATGTATATATTATATTCTAAATCTTTTAGTATAATTTTTTTATTATTTTAAAATAAAACTTTCTCTCTAAACTTATATTCAACATCAAAGTAAAAATACACTTATATGAATAAATTTTTTCATATAGATTTTATTATTAATTAAGCTATTTAAATATTATATTATTTAAATTTATGAAAAATTTAAGTAATTATTTATTCTTGTAAATTAAATAAATTTATAGATATTTTTTAATTTATTTTTATCTATTTTTCCTTTGATAAGAGATGAACATATAAAATATGTTATTATTCCTTACTTTGAAAATTTTAATACTTTTTTAGTTAAGTAGAATTTTTATTCAGTAATTTATTATATTTTTATAGCATTAATTACTTTCTTTATTTAAAGAATTAAAATAATGAAGAATATTAAAAAATTTAAAATTATTTTTTTTTCTATGTAACTTTTATTAAATTAATATTTTTGATAAAAAGTTTATTTAAACCTAATGCTTTATTATTATCTTTCATATGGCTCATTAACATTTTATAAAAGTTACACTCCTTTTTTCTAGAATAATAATAAATAGTTATTTTTCTTTTTTTTTGTAATCTTTTGTTTTTGTTCCATAAATAAAGAAGAGTTACTTTTAATAACTTTAAAGTTACATGTTTGCTATTTTATTTATATTTTTTTCACATTCAATTAATATCTTTAATGCATACAGTTCATTTAATTCAATTTTATTTTTTAATTTTTGCATAATTTTTTTCCTCTTCTTCATATAGAATATATATGAAAAAAAAAATAAATTGTAAACAATTTTATTCAGTAGAATTTGTTTGAAAATACTTTTAATATATTTTTTTTTACATATATATATAAAACATGGTTATTTTAGCCTATAAAATAAAAATATGGAAATATAACACAAATTAAATATATAATATTAATATTTTCAAAAGTTTATTATAATATAAAAATTTTAAAAATATATAAAAAAAAAAAAAAAAAAAAAAAAAAAAAGAAAGATATAATAAGAAGAATATGTATGAATATCATAATTTAAATGTGTGTAAATACAATATATTTATTTTAAATGATTAAAATATATAAATTCAATTATTCAAATTAATGTTCATTTTTTTTCATTATATATTGATTAAAAAAAAAAAAAAAAAAAAGGATCTAAATGAAGATAAAAAAGAATGTTTTTTTCTTATTTTTTGATAAAAGATATTATAACCCTCCTAGTAAAAGAAAATGGAGTAAACAAAATGATAAATATAAAACGAGAAGACCATTAGCAGAAAAATTTAATATACATAAAATTAATATAAAAGGAGAATATTGGAAACAAAAGCATGTAAATAAGCAATTTGTAGTAGAAAATGATAATATAGATATGATAAACGAAAAAACTAGCTTAAATTTTTTTGGTTATCCAAATATATCTTTACATAACAAATTGGGTGGAAGCTTATATATTGAGCAAATGGATGAAATCACATTATGCGTAATTATGAATAAATGTATAAAAGAAAATATATATGATAGTTTTATATGGAAAAATTTATTAAATAGATGTACTAGAATAATGAATAAAATGAATGGGAATATTTTAAGCTATATTTTTAAATATTCTTCACAATCTCACTATTATAATCACTATTTTTTTATTACTATGATTGGCAATATATCCTCAAATTTATATTCTTTTAATTTAAAAAATTGCTCAAATGTATTATTTGCAATGAATAATAATAGTGACTTTTATAATGAAGAAATATATAAAAAAATTATTGAACATAGTTCACTGCTTATTTTAAATAGGAATGATATTGATGTTAATGACATTTTATCTATTATAAATTCTTTTTACATTTTTAAAAATAGGAATACAAATGAAATAAATAATTTGGATTCTTATAATATTTATAAAAATGTAAATTATGCATACTTATTATTTGATAGTATTTCTAAAACCTTTAAGAGATATGATTTGGATCTATGTGAAATTGATTATGTATGTTCTTCTTTATTATCCCTTTGCTTACTGGATAGAATAAATTTGTTCTTTCAAGAAAGAAATAGAAATGTTATAAATAAATTAATAAATTATCTAAATAATAACATGGAAAAGTTAAATATTAAACATATTTCTGTTTTGTGTTTTGCATCTTGTGTTTTTAAAAATTCAGAGAATCTAAAATGGAAGAATATATTTCGCAAAATAGAAAAAGAATGTTATTTATTAGATGATAATTATATAAGTATTTTAGCATATTCATTAAAAGGAAAAATATTGGAGAATAAGAATATATATAATATTATTTATAATAAAATTTTTGATACATTAAATTCAGCTTCATTAGAGAATTTAAGTTTAATAACATATTCTTTTTTAAAATACAACAATATAAACAATATCTACGTTAATAATGAAGAAACGAAAATAGAAGGAAATAATATAGAAAATGATGAAAAAATAAAAGAAGAAAAGAAAAAACGTAATTATTTGTTTAAAAAAGGAGATAAAGAAGGAAATTTTAATTATTCTTTTAATTTATTTAATGATTTTTTATATGGTAAGATAAAATATAATGCAAATAATTTTAGTATCTTTCAAATATTTTTAATTTTTAAAGGATTATCTGAAACTAAATTACAAAATAATAAAATTGAAGATTTAAAAGTAATTTTATTAGACCATATATGCAAAAATATTTATACAATACCTATATATTTACTATCTTATTTTAGCAAAATCATTACAAATAGCTCAATAAAAGATAAGGAATTAATAAACTCGATAAAAAATATAAGCTTAATATATTTAAATATCTATAAATATTTATATATAGAAGATAGTGATTATGTGATTAATGCAAACTTTTCTTTGATAGAAGAATACTACAGTACTGTTAATAACGAAAATAAGATAAAAAGTGATATTACATTCCTATATAATGAAAAAAAAAAAGAAATTACTTATTTATCGGAAAAATATTTAATAAATCACGAATTGTTCAAAAGAAGATTTAAATATTTAAATGAAAATTTTAATATATCAAAAGAACAAATTGAAAAAATATTTCAATTTTCAAAAAATTATTTTTTTAATTATTATTTGAAAGAAAAACATCTAGCCAATTTTTTTTATTTTTGCACACTAATGGATAAAGAAAACGCAAATATTTATTTTAATGAAATTAAAACTATAATATATGATAAAATAATAAACAAACATTTAAAATTTTGTTCATCCAGTATTTTATATATTTTTAAGACATTAGATCAAATGAATATGATTCAAAAACAAAACAAATTTTTTAATATATTATTAAAACAATTATGTGATGAGATATTTTCTATTAATATTTCTATTTTTTTTCAGCTTCTTATAATATTTTATAAAAATAAAATTTCTCATTATTACTTTTTAAAGAAAGCAAAATATATAATTAATATGAACAAGTATTAAATTATAAATATATATATATATATATATATATATATATATATCTATAAATATGAAAATATTTTTTTTTTTGTTTTTTTTAGGTATGAATTAAGTGAAAACACATTAATAAACATGAATAACATGATTTTCGAATTGAACAAGTTACTTTATTAACAAAAATATAAAAAAAAAATAGAATTCCATTTTTTAAATAAATTTTTTTTTATAATAGAATTCTAATTTTTAGAATATTTCAATATTTCTCATTTTATTATTACTTTTTTTGTGATATATGTTTATTTTATTTATTATTCTTATACCTAATCAAATAATTTTTTGTTTTATTTTTACTTTTTTTTTTTTTTTTTTTTTTTTTTTTGTTTTGACTTTTTTTATTTTAAAATATTACTTTTCATCAAAACCTTTGTAGATAACTCTAATACTATTTTTTTCAATTTCATAATTAACCTTATTTTCATGAGTACATTTCATTATATTAAATACTACTATGCTTGAATTTTGCATCTTATAAGTTTTTGCTTTATGTGGAATTTTTAAGAAGTAATTAAAAAACAATAAAAACCACAAACTGTGACCAAATATTATGAAAATATTATTTTCATTATTAAAAATATATTTTAATGTGTCTAAAAAATAACTCTTGGAATATGTATTGGCAATTTTTAAATTTCTTTTAAATAATCTTTCTACATCTTTGTGCAAAAATTTTTCTATATCAGTAGTTATATACTTATTAAAAAATCTAAGAAGTGGTACACAATCTGGATTCCTGCTTATCTCTTGTAATGAATTTAAAACATAAATTGATTCGTTAAACTTATTTATTCTATTATAAAATGAAATAAAACAACTGGATATGGTTCTTCTTAAATCTGAGCATAACAAAACACTATTATATTTTAATTTATTCAGCACATCTATATGTTCTTTTATACTTAGATTAATTATTTCTTCATGATCATATTCATCATTATTATTTTTTAAATTCACATTTTTCATATCAACGTTGCTTTCCGCAACTTTATTGTTATTAAACGTTTTATTTTTCTTATTATCACAACGTTGCAATTTTATCATCTCTGAACTATTTTCATATTTTTTTGCATTTTCTTCTGATATATCTATTTGATTAATAGGAACAACACACTGTTTACTTCCATCTTTATTTTTTTTTTCTTTTTGCAAAAAGTTAGATAATTCAAGAGACTGAATTATTCCATTAGTACTTAAAGGGGCATCTATTAACGCAGATTTTTTACTAAATAAAAATATGAATTCATAAAAAATTACTAAAGAAATATTCATAAACGTTTTAAAAGTAAGTTTTTTATTGAAAGTGTTATTCCATACAGATTCACTATGTCTGATAAAATATATTGTTTTTATTTCACAATTATCTTTATTTATCAAGCTTTCATCTTTTTCACTCATGGGAATACTAATATATTTATTTCTATTAAATGACACATATCTATATATACAATGAAATATTACTTTAATTTTAATAAAAAAATTAATAAAAGAATTAACTATTATTTCTTTTAGTATTTGTATGTGTAAAAAGAATTTTAATAGTCTTTTATTATTTGTATTTTTTTTATTTTTATGTTTTTTTAAATTGAATATATGAATATATTCAAATATGATGTTAATAATGAGGAAGGTTAAAAAAATAGTAACTAACGAAATTAAAAAAATTTTCATTATTCATATTATTTTTTTTATTTTATATATATATATGTATAATATATATATATATATTTTTACTTTTAAATTATTTGATATACTAACAAAAAATAATTAAAATTTTATAAAAACTTCAAAATGAAATTTATACTAAATTTAAAATTATAATTAACAAAAATCCTTCATAATAATATTAGAAAAATATTGAATAAAACATAATAATCTAAAATTAAAAAAAAAAAAAAATTTAATCAGTATTAATAAAAATACAAATATGAAATTAAGGAAAAACTAAACAAAATTAACATTTTAGAAAAAAAAAAAAAAAAAAATAGAATTTACAATGTATTTATAGAATAATTTTAAATTAAAATAATTCTTAAATATTTAACATAAACTTTATCAATAAAAAAAAAAAAAAAAAAAAAAAATACCCTTCAGAAAATTTCTACT